ATACGTGCAGAAGAAGAGCTGGAAAAACTTCTTCTCATACTTAGGCCCTGGCTTTCTTGTCTCTATTGCTTACATTGATCCTGGAAACTGTAAGATTTCTACTTTACATCTAAATATTCATACAAGTATATCACTTTATTACACACAAGATATGCAAATTTTTATTGTTGTAGTTGAGACTGATCTGCAATCAGGAGCTCAATACAAATATGAGGTGCGTTACAATTGGTTTAACCTTTACTTTCAATTGTTTTTCATATGTAAACGCAAACGCATAAATTGGCGTTTGAAACAATCTAGCCCTTAGTCTTTTGCTGATTTTGTTTGATAAAACGTTTTTTGGTCACAGTTACTATGGATCATATTGGTGGCGTCTTGTGCAGCTTTGGTGATTCAATCTCTGGCTGCAAATCTTGGTGTTGTCACAGGTTAACCCTGAATTCAAACAAAACCTTTCTTATATTCTAGTCTTTATATAAATCTCAATCTATGGCCAAATCTGCTTATAATATCTTGAAATGCTGACTCTATGATGAACTCAGGAAAGCATTTAGCAGAGCATTGTAGAGCTGAGTACTCTAAAGTTCCAAACTTTATGTTATGGGTAGTTGCGGAAATCGCTGTAGTCGCTTGTGACATTCCAGAAGGCATGAGGTTCTTTCTGATGCAGTGATGATTTTGATTGCCTTATTTTGACTCTGTTAATTTCTCAGACCAAATGGTAAGACATATATGAATCAATCATTGGTCTTCTTTGTATACAGTTATTGGAACAGCATTTGCTTTAAACATGCTTTTCAATATCCCGGTTTGGATTGGTGTTCTTCTCACAGGACTTAGTACACTGATTCTTCTAGCACTTCAACAATATGGGGTATATTCATATCTTGGTTTTTGAATTCTTTTATGTTTCCTGAGGCTTTTAGGTTTGGTAAGTTTGTTCTTTTCTTGAATCTTTGCAGATTAGAAAGCTCGAGTTCTTGATCGCGTTTCTTGTGTTAACTATTGCTCTATGCTTCTTTGTTGAGCTTCATTACTCAAAGCCAGACCCAAAAGAAGTCCTATTTGGTCTCTTTGTTCCGCAGTTAAAGGGAAATGGCGCAACTGGTTTAGCGATCTCTCTCCTCGGTGCCATGGTTATGCCGTAAGCAACTCTCTCTCCCTCGTTCCAATTACAACAGTTTCAATGAAATTGCTCATCTCTTTTTTTCTTCACAGGCACAACCTCTTTCTTCACTCAGCTTTGGTTCTCTCTAGAAAGATTCCTCGTTCAGTAACCGGCATCAAGGTAATCAAATTCCCTAACATACATACATTTTCATGGATGTTGTGAGTCTAAGTTTACTCAGTTTCATTTACAGGAAGCTTGTCGGTATTACTTGATAGAAAGCGGATTAGCCCTTATGGTGGCATTTCTCATAAACATCTCTGTGATTTCAGTGAGTGGTGCAGTTTGTAATGCCTCAAATTTGAGTCCAGAAGATAAAGCGAACTGCGAAGATTAGGATTTAAACAAAGCTTCGTTTCTGCTTCGGGTAAATCCATCTTGGTTTGAATTACTTGCACAATATTTCACAAGATTAAAGGATATATATACTTCTTGCCTTCTTCTTATGCTTTCCACAGAATGTTGTAGGGAAATGGAGCTCAAAGATATTCGCAATTGCGTTGCTTGCTTCCGGTCAGAGTTCAACAATAACCGGAACATATGCTGGACAATACGTAATGCAGGTGATCAAACCCCCGGACGAATTCTCCTGAAAGTCCTAACTTCTTGTCTGAATCTTGTTCTGTTTCTTGTTTCCTCAGGGGTTTCTTGATTTAAGAATAAAGCCATGGCTAAGAAACTTCTTAACAAGATGCTTAGCTATTATCCCGAGTTTGATTGTAGCTCTTATCGGCGGCTCAGCTGGAGCGGGAAAGCTAATCATCATTGCCTCGGTAACTCCAATAACTCAATTCCAATCTTGAATCATCTATACATTCTTGACATCAATCATCTATGTTTTCTGCAGATGATATTATCCTTTGAGCTCCCATTTGCTTTAGTCCCACTTCTCAAATTCACAAGCAGCAACATCAAAATGGGCTCACACGTCAATTCACTCCTGGTAATAAACAACTTCACTTCCCTTATATGTTCATAACATCGGTTCGCACCAATTCACTTCCCTTATATGTTCATAACATCGGTTTGCACCGATTCACTCCTTGTTTATCTGTAGATATCTTCTGTGACTTGGCTCATTGGTGGACTTATTATGGGTATAAACATATATTATCTAGTAAGCAGCTTCATCAAGCTACTTCTCCAAAGTCACATGAAGCTTGTAGCCATTGTCTTCATAGGACTTCTTGGATTCTCAGGCATGGCCATTTACGTAGCCGCCATTGGTTACCTTGTCCTCCGTAAAAACAGAGAGTCCTCCACACATTTTCTATCCTCCAGTGACTCTCAGACCGCAGAAACACTTCCTAGAGAAGACATTATGAACATGCAGTTACCTAACAGAGTAACGGTAACAGGCAACTTAGACTGAAGAATTATAAATATAAGATAGATTTACTTAGTGTAAACTATTACATAGAATAAACATGAAGCCTTGTATACAAAATCCATCAAACATAATTTATTACCTTGGCTATAAAGATCTGACTTATACAGAATCATAACCAGATAAGACATTTTAGAAACAGATGTTTCACATAACCAGAGACAAGACACAAATATTTTGTTTTTTGTCTAATACAAAAGCAATTGCAATGGCTAGGCATATACTTCAGGGAATAAACTTTTCAAGACTCGATCTTGATGCCATTTTCGGTGGATTCTTGTGATGTCGA